TTTGTGTTGCGGAAATACCGCAGCTTTGTTTGCAGCTGGCATACCTGAGGAATTTTCCACTTGTTCTCTGCCTTGCACATGTGTTTAATTCACCCACGAATGGTGAAATTATAACAATTGTAATTATCGCAGCATTGTTGCCGCTGATTTACCGGTACCTAGATGGTGCATCCGTGCCTGTTTTGCAATTTTTTGTTCACCCTCACGGTACTTTCAACCGCAAACGGTATTTGGAGACTTGGAAACGGTGCCCTTTCGACTATAAAAGTCAGCCAGCACTTCATGAAAGGAATCTTTGGTTCCTACCCACACGACACATGTTTTCGTGCGTTCAAACATTGACCGCTTCGTTCCATCCCGCACATGATGTCTACTCTTGTCTTTTGTAGGGCGGGCTCCACGCCCGGAGCGCCGCCATCAGGAGCAGCACCGGCGCCAGCTCCAGCATCGGCGCCAGCTCCAGCACCGGCACCAGCTCCAGGATCAGGAAGCGCACGAGCAGCGGCAGCGGTAACACCAGCAGCGGCAGCAGCAACACCCACACCAGCACCAGCGTCAGGAGCTCCGGTGGCCAACGATGGCAAATCCGGCAACATGATGTTCCCCGGAGAGACAGAGTGGGGAGATGGGCTCGGCGGCGTTCGCTTCGGTACGCCGGCACAGAACAAGGGCAAGAGAAAGAAAGGGCGGCTGGAGCTGGAGCCGCCGGACTTCCCGATTCCCGACCATGGTGGTGGAACCCAAAGGAAGCGCTACACCTTGCAGTTCAAGGTGAATGCCGTGAGGTACTCGCAGAGAAAGCTCAAGGGGGCGCAAGGACCGGGCGGGACTGTTGGCGTAACATACGCCAGCAGGATCCTCAAGATTCCCGACAAGGCCACGTTGGCGGCGTGGGTCAAAGACGTCGACAAGTACGAAGCCGCGCTTGCGGAGGAGACCAAGTACTCGCGAGTGAAGGGTAGGAAGGAAGCCAAGCACCGCATGTCGCTGAACGTCGGACGGACTAGGACGCACACGGACGCCGAACGCGAGGTCGTGGACTGGATCAATGATCTGCGTTCTGACGGCATCTCCGCCCGTGTCTCGACGAGGATGATCAAGAACAAGGCCACGGAACTCAACCCGAACTTCTTCGGGGAGAGGCCGCCGCCGTCCGACATCGAGAGCAACCTGCGGTACACCCGCAAGAAGACCGCGTGGTGCAGGAGGTTGCTCAGAGTCTACCGCTTTTCTGTGCGAGCCGTCACCCGTCAAGGCCAGAAACTTCCTACCGGCTGGCCCGTGATCGCCATGCACGCGATCAAGGAGTGGAGGAGGCTGAAGTCCGACGTCCCTTCCGCGCTCGAGCTTGCGGACGGAGTCGAATGCCTGGGTGCAGTGGCGGGAGGCAGCGCGAGCGGCAGCGGGAGTGGGAGTGGCGCCGGAGTTCCGTCGGGGCCGAGTCCCAAGTTCGCCTTGGCGCAGATCGCCAACATGGATGAGACTCCTACGTGGATGGAGAACCCGGGGAACAACACTGTGAACGTGAGTGCCTGGTTGTTTCTTTTTTGCCCTAGTTTTCCCTCATGCTTCGTTCGATATAGCGATCCCTATCTTGGCCTCCATACATGTACGTACCTAGTTTGAGTGTACGATATATATGTACATGCGTAGTTTCCGTCTTTTCTTGGGCGTCCTGTCCTCCGCTGATTTTGGTTATATTTTTTTACAACCGCTGCTCTCACTTTCAAGCTTGACATGAAAAATCGTTTCTGCATACCCGACGTTGACGTCGCTTTTCACTGCTCTATGGAATCCCGCAGCGCACCGGCGACAAGGAGGTTGGCGTGAAAACCGGCGGCAAGGAGAAGATGCGCATCACTTCGGTCCTGACGGTGTNTGGTCATATTTTTTTACAACCGCTGCTCTCACGTTCAAGCTTGACATGAAAAATCGTTTCTGCATACCCGACGTTGACGTCGCTTTTCGCTGCTCTATGGAATCCCGCAGCGCACCGGCGACAAGGAGGTTGGCGTCAAAACCGGCGGCAAGGAGAAGATGCGCATCACTTCGGTCCTGACGGTGTTCGCCGACGGCAGCAAGCTGCCGCCCCTCGTCATCTTCAAGGGCCAGCCCACGCCGAAGGGGAAGGCCCCTGCCGCCAACAGCATCGAGCGCGAGTTCAAGGACTACAAGGACAAGAAGGGCTACGCATACCCTCGAGGTGTCGTCTACGCCGTGGACCCGAAGGCATGGCACTTCCAGCGGGTGTTCAACGAGGTCTGGCTGCCTGAGGTGTGGAACCAGCGCCCGGGGCGGCAGGGTCACCTGGGCGGCTACCGTCAGCCTAACACGCTGCTGGCGTGGGACGACTACACCGTCCACAAGACGGACGCGTCTACCAAGGCGATGGCGGAGTCCAACACGACGCTGTTTCTCATCCCGGGAGGCCTGACTCCCGAGCTCCAGCCGTGCGATGGCCTCAACAAGATCTTCAAGGCAAATATGTCCAGGCTCTACGACGACCACATGGCTTCCCCTCACGTCAAACGCGGCGACCACGGCTACCCGGAGGCCCCTTCGCGGGGGTTAGTCGCACAGTGGGTCAAGAAGTCGTGGGACGCCTTGACCGCGGATGAAGTCCGCGCGAGCTGGAGGAAGGCTGGCCTGCTGCTTCCCTTCGACGGGTCGGAAGACGAGGCCTGGGCCAACAAGGAGCTCAACTCCAACGCCCAGGGGGAGCCCCTCGACGCGCCATCGGCCGGTGCGGACAAGGCTGACTCGTCGTCGGGAGGCGGCAACTTGCTGGAGGTGTTGGAGATCGACGATGATGACGACACGGGCGTGGTGGTGGTGGACATCAGCGACGACGAGGGCGAGGAGCCGTGAGGCATCGGCGGCGATGCTGGTGTTGAGAAATGGCTTGTGGTGTCCTTCTCATGGACCCTCGCATTTCTCCTGGCGTGCGTTTCTCTTCCTTCGTCGTGTGCTTTCCTCGACGCGTCGAGTGCAACGTAGTGTTGTTTGCGGTAGTGGTTAGTGGTCTTGATTGTTTTTGGTCGTGGTGACGTAGCAAGGTAGGTAGCAGCGGCCTACGGTACTTGTTTGTGAGGGGGTAGGACGGAATGGCCACTCTGTGGCGACCGCCTGGCAATATATCAGGCGAGGTACCTTTGATTTTTGTGTTTTTAGTTTTTGCTCCTGCAATCATGATAGAAACACGGATGCTGCTTGTTAGATGGACCCGTTATCATTTTTGGTTCTTATCCCCGCCGTTCCTGAGTCATAACGTATACCTAGCTCCCAGGCGACACCTTACTTGCCGCAGCGCNTGTTTTTGGTCGTGGTGACGTAGCAAGGTAGGTAGCAGCGGCCTACGGTACTTGTTTGTGAGGGGGTAGGACGGAATGGCCACTCTGTGGCGACCGCCTGGCAATATATCAGGCGAGGTACCTTTGATTTTTGTGTTTTTAGTTTTTGCTCCTGCAATCATGATAGAAACACGGATGCTGCTTGTTAGATGGACCCGTTATCATTTTTGGTTCTTATCCCCGCCGTTCCTGAGTCATAACGTATACCTAGCTCCCAGGCGACACCTTACTTGCCGCAGCGCCGCGGGGCGCGGGCGCCCTCGATCCTACAATTTTTTTTCGTTTTTTTCTGCTCCATTCATGTCCGTTTTTGTTTGAAACTTTCTTTGGCGTTGAGCGGGTAACACATCGTCGAGGTCATGTGCTCAAGCGTTTCGTCACCTCCGTTGAGCCCCGTCTGTTTACCACATCTCGCAGTATTACATTACGGTAGGTGGCGTACCATGGTATGTACGGGGGCAGTATAACAAACCCCTTCATTTACCATCACACGTGGGTGTTGGGACGTGCTATCACACCCCCTTTCTATCACACCCCCAAACACACCCTGTGGGTGGTCCGATGTGCTACAACACCCCCTTTTTATCACACCCCTCATTTATCACACCCCCAAACATACCCTGTGGGTGGTCCGACGTGCTATCACCCCCCCCCGGTTTATCACACCCCCTTGGGGCTCCCTGCGAGCTGCACTTTATCACCCGGGATATATAAGATACCACACCCCCCACAGGATACCACACCGGTGATAAATATTTTTAAACTCAGAAATGTCATCACCGGGGTGTGTTATCTTGTGTCACCCCCCCCGGTTTATCACACCCCCTTGGGGCTCCCTGCGAGCTGCACTTTATCACCCGGGATATATAAGATACCACACCCCCCACAGGATACCACACCGGTGATAAATATTTTTAAACTCAGAAATGTCATCACCGGGGTGTGTTATCTTGTGTCACTTACGGTATATTGATCGAGGTGTGGGGGGCGCCAATCAATGTGATGGACTCTGAAAAAACAAAATGTCTTGGAAAAAAAAGACACCTCCACACGGACTCGAACCCATGATTTCCAGAGTCAGGGTGGCCTTCACCGAGTTCACGAAGTGAATTGGCTTTCTTACAACGTCGTTGCCAAGCGACAAAAACCCAATCCCGATTGCAAACACCGAGGGGGGGGCTTGTTTTACAACTTCGTTGCGAAGCGACGAAAACCCTACCCCGATGGCAAACACCGGGAGGGAGGGAGGTGTACTCCGGGGGGGAGGGAGGAGTGTGGTACATTAATAAATAGGGCTAGCAGCTGCAAAAAAAAAGGGAATACGACACAACAGGGTATTCCCTGGTCGAAAAGCGACACACCTGGGCACACAATCATTAACAGCAGTAAATGCACTCATATCATTGGTCAGCGCCCAATTTCACCCGGGTGCGTCCGAAAAGGCGCAGGGTATACCCTGCCGTGACTACTTTTCTCAATACCTGTACCCTGTTTTCGGAGATGTACCCTGATCTGTCGGGAAATTCGACCCTTTCATCAATCATTTCCCCCGCAGGAATCTTCCCAACTTTTCTTCCCTTTATGGGATACCAAACGGCGACTCTTCCCGCCCAATAACAACCATGGCAACGGGGCAGGAATCAGTTTCCGCCCCTGCGAAACAACACCAACCGTCAACTCTTCCGCTCAAAGTCAACAATGGCTGGGCAACACGTATTCCAGCACAGGTGTTCCGTTTGGAAACATGCACACGCGCGTACGATACCCCGTGGACGACTGCTTGCTGCAGTCTAGACTATATGCGAGACGCACGGGTCACGCTGTGAAAGCGAGACCGATCCAGCATGGTTGATATGAATATGCATGGGTGCGTGCGTGTGTTGTCTGTTGTGTGTCTCAATTGCGATGTGCCGTGTGTGCGTGCGTGCGTTGTCTGTTGTTTCTCAATCGCGATGTGTTTCTTGCAAGAACTACTGCTGTAGCGGCAGCGGGCACGCTTTCCAGCCGACCAAGCCGACCAATCAATGTAGTGGGAAAACGTCAGGCTTCAGCGGGATGAGCCGATGAAATACAACGCGGGCACTCTTTCTTCTCTCTATCGACAGGGAGGGTGATCTAGTTACACCATAAGGATAAGGCTTGTGTGTGCTTGATTGATGTCAAGGGCGAGTTTGTGTGTGCTGGTCCTGCCTCTCCCCTCCACCCTCGTTGCGGGCGCGAGCTCGCCGCCAGCACAGCGCCACACACTGGCACGTGCTATGCATGTCAACCATGCTGGATCGGTCTCGCTTTCACAGCGTGACCCGTGCGTCTCGCATATAGTCTAGACTGCAGCAAGCAGTCGTCCACGGGGTATCGTACGCGCGTGTGCATGTTTCCAAACGGAACAATTGTGCTGGGATACGTGTTGCCCAGCCATTGTTGACTTCGAGCGGAAGAGTTGACTGTTGGTGTTGTTTCGCAGGGGCAGAAACTGATTCCTGTCCCGTTGCCATGGTTGCTTTTGGGCGGGAAGAGTCGCCGTTTGGTATCCCATGGTTGGAGGGGAAAAAGAGTTGGGAAGATTCCTGCGGGGGAAATGATTGATGAATGGGTCCAATTACCCGACAGGTCAGGGTACATTTCCGATAAGAGGGTACGGTAATTGAGAAAAGTAGTCACGGCAGGGTATACCCTGCGCCTTTTCGGACGCACCAGGGTAAAATCGGGCGCTGACCAATGATATGAGTGCATTTACTGCTGTTAATGACTGTGTACCCAGGTGTGTCGCTTTTCGACCAGGGAATACCCTATTGTGTCGTTTTCCCCAACAAAAATGTCTCTGCTGTTGTGCTTCGCTTGTTGGTTCGAGCTTTGATCGAGAAATCTCACAAGCGTTCAAGCGTGTGATGGGTAACCAGGCTAGCACGGGAGGCTGGTCGCACACTAGGCCTTCGCGAACAAAAGTGTAGAGAGGCGTACAGCAGTACATGTCGCGTACAGCAGTACATGTCGCACCAATGGTGGTGCGTAGCAGCGTTTGTCTGTGTGTTGTTGGTGTCATGTGCCCCTCTCCGCGGAAAGAGAGAGGCCGCTGCTGCTGCTCCTGCTGCTGCTGCAACCAAATGTTGATCTCTCCTCTCGCTTCCTCCGCCGATAGCTAACAGCAGCAGCGTATGGCACACCCTTCTCCCGCCGACTCGCCCTCGCTGTGGTCTGCGCCTCCCTCTCCCTGTTTGTCCATGTCTGTGCGTGCATCAGCAGTCAAGCCAGAAATATGGCGAGGTGTGAGGTCGATGTAACCATCACTGTAGACGGGTTGCCTTTATTTTCCCGTGATGAGCGTCGTTCGTTGTGTGTGTGTTTCTTCTTGTGTCGGGTTTATGCTTTGGGCCCTCGCGACCACAACCTACAGTATCTTCGTGGGGTGCGCTTTTCCCTCAAGTTTTTTTGGGTGAAACACGATTTTTTTCCGTCCTGCCTCGCGCCGTTGTGTGTAGTCTATGTCGTTCCCTTTTTCTGTTGACGCCCCAACAAAAGTACGACGTGGAATGCAGAAAAGATTATTAGCGACATCAGATTTCACCATTCAAGACTCACGGCTTTGTTCCCATCCCATTTCCGACGAACGTGGACCGTTTCTTCGCTCTCTCCTTGGCACATCAGAAATTTAAGGAGAACGAGCAAAGAAGTGGTGGGGCCGGTGCGGACGCAACTCAGGACGGGGGATTCGTCAACGCCCGTCCCAGTTTATGCGGGGCTCTTTACCGACAATGCTCTGGCAGGACGGTATCGAGCTCTCTGGCGGAGACGACGACGAGACATACCGCCCCGGCGATATCGTCCTTCCCGATGGACACCTGGACTCAGGCAGCAGGCACGGCAGCAGCGTGCGGGTGGACCCGGGGTCCGAGGGAGAGGTGAGGCGACACCCGCCCGTTCNCTGGCGGAGACGACGACGAGACATACCGCCCCGGCGATATCGTCCTTCCCGATGGACACCTGGACTCAGGCAGCAGGCACGGCAGCAGCGTGCGGGTGGACCCGGGGTCCGAGGGAGAGGTGAGGCGACACCCGCCCGTTCCTCTGGCAACACCAACTCTCGGAAGCACAAGAAATCCAAAACGGGTTCCGACGACAGGGCGGAGCTGGTAGCCGACACGAAGGAAGTGATCGCCGTGTGGCGCAAAGCAGCGGAGCAGGAAGTACGGGGAGACGAACCTTCTTTCGGTGATATAGAGGAGGACCGAGCAAAGTACTTTGCCATGGAGGGATTCATCGACGATGTTAAGAGGCTCCAAACAAAGGTCGATTCTGCATCATCGAACTTTTTGCGGGAGAATATCAAAAGTTGTTAGATGCCGCTGAAGCGCGAGGGGCACGGGCTGAGCAGAGCAGCGACGAGGCGGCTGTGGCATCATCGAGCGCCGCAGCCGCGCCCCCCACCGTCTCGAGTCCTGCCGCACCATCTAAACGCCTGCAGCGGTCGAAGGACGGACGGTAGCGGGCGATGTGATGTAGGATCTCCATGGGCTTCCGGAGCGCACGCCCGTGGATGATTTGCCGGCGATGGCACAGGCCTTGGCGCGTACAGGCGACGGGGGTGGAGCTTGAGTACTGGTTGCGCGGGCGAGAGGCGGGAATGGATGGTGGGGGAACACAGTCTTTGGTGGGAGCACCCTGGCTGGAAACCTGCGGGCGATTGCGCGGGTGTTGCTGTAACAGTGCACACGGGGGCGCAGGAGCTGTGGGGCGTGTGTGTTTCGGAGTGAGCGGCAACAGCAGGACGATAACAGAACGTAAGCGCACGTGTTGAAAGCTCCCCGAGCCGTGAGGGATGCTGTGTTTTTGAAGTTTCAAACGTGGGGGGAGCCTTTGATCTATGTTCTACGCAAAGGCGTTGCCCGACATGGGGGTTGCGCGGGGGTGAACCGTTCAGTAAACGCAACACCACTCTCCAACCTCACTTTTGTTTTTCATTATCTACTCATTTTCGAATTGTGGAGAGGGATGTACCAGAGCAAGAAATCTTGGGGGGGAAATACCTGCCCGGATATGGTGAAGAGTCACTTCGCTTGGAAGTTGCTTCGTAGCTACTAGATACAGTAGGATGTTTTTTTTTTGTTGTTGTCTTCACATTAAACCGTATGTCAGTTGCCAAATGCCAAAATCTAGCAAAAGACTCTCAGCCCGTGGTCACGAAAGCGCTAGAGCCATCTGAGGATCTATAGAACACGCACACATATAACGAGAAAAAGGTATCCAAGAGCCCGAAGAGGTACACCTTAAAATCCCTGCAGCACCGTATGCGTGCCCAAAAACTGAACTGCACGTCCGTCCCACCGTTCGACTACAGTAGCATCACCCCCTCCCTGTCCCACTCTATACCAAAACGGAAGATTGCCGACTACAGCATA